ATCAGCTGCCTCCTGCACATCTCCCACTGCGGGATAGTGCCCGCAACCCAGGCACATGCCCTTGACCGGAATCGAACCCGGGACCCCTCAGTCCGCAGGCCGACGCTCTATCCACTGAGCCAAACCGGTTTCGGCTAACAGGGCATTCTATAGGAATATTACAGGGCATTCTGTAGGAATATTACTGTGTCTTTTAGAAAGTATGACAAAATACTGTGCCTTAAAAGGAGGAAGAAGAGTAAATACCACCAATATTTATTTCTGCTTTGCTTTTATTGTTTAAGCATCAAATCTACATTTTATTGAAGAGAATGGTCGATTTTATGCTTTTGCTTAGTTCCTCAGTGAGCAAATGTCTTGTAGCAAATCCTGTTGTAGAAGAGTATCTTCTATTGATACCTTTTGGGTTTATTGTATATAGACAGAGTGAGAGCACTTTGATTTGGATGCATGCTGTTAGTGATTATATTAAAGTGGCATGAATTGCTTTATGTCTTGTGGGTAAGTGACTACAATCATGTGAAAATATAAAGGGAATATATTCTGTCCTGAATTATTTTTAAAACAAGCAGATTTTCCACTTTAATGTAGAAATTAGTCAGTAGCTTAGAGTCCTTTTTAAAAGGCTACCTTGGAAAGTACCTTTAAGTCAAGATACCCACCCAGATAAGGTTTACTAATACAGAACATTTACTTAACATACTAAAATACTATAAGCCCTTTGTCATTTGGAGAACTGATATTTTATTTCAGTGAAAGTGCTGAAAATAGCTCAGAAAAGAAAATGTTTCTCCCTAAATCATAGCATTAATCTTTCAAAGAGCCTCAACCAGAATGTAAACCACTTTAAAAGATTCAAAAGTTTGACAAGCAGCCTTATTGAACCTTATAATTTTGACTCCTCAAATTTTCATTTAAAAAGTAATAAGGCCCAAGCGGTGTTACTTAGTGGTTGAGCGTTTACCTGTGAACCAGGGCACACTGGGGCGTTCAGGAGGCAGCCAATCAATGGTATTTTCTCTCTCTCTCTCTCTCTCTCTCTCTCTCTCTCTCTCTCTCTCTCTCTTCCTCTCTGAAATGAATTAAAAAATATTTTTAGAAAAGTAATAAGGAAACTAAAAATTTGTTAAGTACCTCTAGAGTTAATATTACACAATGGTCTCAAAGTCCCAGAAGTCCAAGCGTTTGTATTACTATGGGAATTTAACAAATTTGGGGGAAGAAAATGCTCAAATTTTATTCAGAAATAATTAGCTTCTATACCTTGGTTAAAACTTTCATGGATAATTGTAACTAGCAACTGTATAGCACTTGGATGCTGTTAAAAGTGCTTTCTTTTGTTTGTGGATAAAATAGTAAATATTGTAATCTAATATGTTTTTTGTCCCCTCAAAGGATAAGATCATCTGAAGACAAATGGAACAACTGCTTACATTTGTAATGTTGTTTGTATTTCCTTGACAGAGATTTCCAAGCAGGATCCTTTTTGTTTCAAAGATTGACAAAGTGTTGTGTAGTAGTCACTGTAACCAAATTCAGTTATTGCTCTTTGTCTGTAGCAGAGGTAGATTAGATACTATCAATTCTAGCTGCTTTTAGTGATTAAAAGGTAAACATTGTTGTTCATTTCCTTTTTGGTACTCTATAGGCGTGGTCAGGTTCTTAGAACCAAGTGGTTGATTTTCTTTTTCCATAACCCCCACCCTTACCCACAATTTTTTTGTTGTTGTTAAAATGTAGAAAGGCTTGTTCTGGAAGAGTATTGATTTTTTTTTAGTGTAATTTGCATCCTGTTCATACTTAATAGCAGTTTTTGTTTGCTGATTTTTTTTCTTTCTTTTTTTTAAATTTTATTTTTTTTAATATATTTTTTTATTGCTTAAATTATTACAATGAGTATTACATATTTCTCCTTTTTTTCCCCCGCCCTTGTGTTTGCTGATTTTTAAATGTGTGTGTTTGGACTCTAAAAATATTCATCGTGTGTGTGTGTGTGTGTGTGTGTGTGTGTGTGTGTGTGTGTGTGTGTTACTGTGCTTTGAGTCAGCTCCAATTCCTGGCAACCCTATGAATGAGCGATGTCCACAGTGTTCTATCCTGAACAGCTTTGCTCAGCTCTGGTAGACTCACGCCTATGGCTTCTCTTACGGAGTCAATCCATCTTAAATTTGGCCTTCCTCTTTTCCTGCTGACTTCTGTATTTTGTGTGCTTTTTTAAATAACAGGGTATCTTGATTAACTCCCACCCACCAACCCTCCCCCACCTTCCCTCCGAGATTCCACACTGTTCCATGCTTCCATGTCTCTGGATCCATTCCGTTCATCAGTTTATTTTGTTACTTAGATTCCACATATGAGTGAGATTATGTGATACTTGTCTTTCTCTGACTGACATTTAACTTAGCATAATATTTTCCAGGTCTCTCCATGCTATCTCAAAGAGTAAGAGATACTTCTTTTTTGCTGTTGCATAGTATTCCATGGTATGAATGTACCACAGCTTTTTTTATTCAGTCATCTACTGATGGGCATTTGGGCTGTTTCCAGATCTTAGTTATTGTAAATTGTGCTGCTGTGAACATAGGGGTGCATACATTCTTTTTGATGGGTGTTTTGGTTTTCTTAGGATATAGTCCTAGAAGTGGGTTCTCTGGGCAAAATGGCAGTTCTATATTTAATTTTTTAAGGAAACTCCATACTATTTTCCATAATGGCTGCACCAGTCTGCATTCCCACCAGCAGCATACTAGGGTTCCCTTTTCTCCACATCCTCTCCAGCACTTGGTCATTTGTTGATATGTTGATGGTAGCAGGGCTCTATTCTTCTTCTTCTTTTTTTTTTTTTTAATAATACTCTGTTGTTATTACATTACTAACAATTAAATGATTTTTAAATTGTGAAAGCCAAATGTGCAATACAGATTACTCTGATCATATAATCAGATTAAAATATGAGTAGAACAATGAACCAAAAAGAAAGGAGTCTGTTTTAAAACCCCTGGCATGTGGGGATTTTAGCATTCTTCCTATAGGTTAAGCATTGTTTTCACATTTTTACTTTATAGAGCCTCTGGTTTCACTCTTGATAACCTGTGTATTGAAAATAGTGGACCATATTTTTTAAAAAAATTAGCTCTGGCTAGTGTGGCTCAGTTGATTGGGTATCATTTCATGCACTTAAAGATTACTGGTTTGATTCTCCATCAGGGTACATGCCTGGGTTTCAGGCTCCATCCCTTGTGGGGGACATGCAGTAGGCAGCTGATCGATGTTTTGCTATTACATTGATGTTTCTCTCTCCCTCTCACTTCCTCACTCTCTAAGGGAAAAAAAAAAATTAATTACCCCCTCTACTTTTTTTCTGTGTAGATTTTTTTGGAAAAATAATAAAATGAAAATATCCCTTGATGCTGTCATCAAGAAGTCTTCATATTCAGCCTTGGCCAGTGTGGCTCAGTTGGTTGAGCATCATCCTGTGCACAGAAAGGTCACCGGTTAGATTCCTGGTCAGGGCACATACTGGGGTTGTGGGTTCAATCCAAGGTTGGAGTGCATGCGAGAGGCAACTGGTCAATGTTTCTCACCTCTCTCTCTCTCTCTCCCCCCCTCCACCCCTCCCACTTTTTCTCCCTTTACTGCTCCCTCTCCTTTCCTTTCCCCCCTCTCTAAAAAAATCAATAAATATTTTTTAAAAAGAAATCTTCATATTCAGTAGTTAAATATGATTCATGGCTGAAGTTTTAAGGGGGCTTATGTGTGTATGTATTAAATTATTATCTTTCTTTTTAAAAAAATATATTTTATTGATTTTTTTACAGAGAGGAAGGGAGAGGGATAGAGAGTTAGAAACATCGATCAGCTGCCTCCTGCACACCCCCTACTGGAGATGTGCCTGCAACCAAAGTACATGCCCTTGACTGAAATTGAACCTGGGACCTTTGAGTCTGTAGGCCAACGCTCTATCCACTGAGCCAAACCAGTCAGGGCTTAAATTATTTTCAATATTACAGGCCTGGTGCACGAAATTCGTGCACAGGTAGGGTCCCTAGGCCTGGCCAGCAATCAGGGCCGATCGGGGCCTTCCTTCGTTCTGCGCCGCCCCCTGGTGGTCAGCGCATGTCATAGCAAGCGATCAAACTCTCGGTTGAACTCCCAAGGGGACACTTTGCATATTAACCTTTTATATATATAGATAGGATCTGATTTTGAAATGGTAAGTGATCATTCAATTAGAAATCAGTACATTAATATATTTGATAGCTTTATCTTGTAATACCTCAAAGAATGTATACTTAAATGTGCCTTTTTTTTTAAAAAAATATTTTATTGATTTTTTATAGAGAAGAAGGGAGAGGGACAGAGAGTTAGAAACATGGATGAGAGAGATCGATCAGCTGCCTCCTGCACGCCCCCCACTGGGGATGTGCCCGCAACCCAGGTACATGCCCTTGACCAGAATCGAACCTGGGACCCTTCAGTCCGCAGGCCGACGCTCTATCCACTGAGCCAAACCGGTTCGGCTTAAATGTGCCTTTGTATACTGAATTTATTTAGACTTTTTGCTTTAAAACAAAATGACCCTCTAATTTTTCAACAGTATGTGTCTTAAAATTTTGTTTTTAAATGTTTTGCCATGGAAATCTTTAAACAGTAAAAACGCCAGATTTTCAAGAACCAGCATAGCTGGTACATTACTGCAGATTGTGTGCATGCATTCTTTTCTTGTTACTATAGAAACATACAGACTGTGGATTTATCATAAACCATGAGAATTGTTCCTTGCAACAGTTCACAAAAAGAAACATCTGGATCCCTTGTTTATTCTGGGGTAAAAGAAGACCACCCTTTTTTTCTGAATTATGGAAATCACATATCTCTTGGGGATTTTTACTGGGTTAATAGACTCTCTCTGGAAATTTATTTGACTTCATATCAGTCTCTTGGTGTTTTAAGCCTTGAAGGGAAAGTTAGCCAAGAACTAAGGAGAATCTCAGTCATTAGTGGCGAGGTAAGCAGTCAGATTTTGCCAAGGATAGTACCTGCATAGGAGGCTGTAATTGCATTTATATTATCTTGCATTCTCCACGGAAAAATCCTCAACAACTCTTTAAAGCATTTCATTTATATGTAATAACTCCCTTAAGTTTACATAGTTCAGTTTAAAAGATTATTAAGCCTCTCCTCTGAGCATTGGCTTTGGGTTCTTGGAGCACATGGATGAAAAAATTACTTCCTGCTTTTAAGAAAACCACATAAACAGGTTGTTTCATGATTAATTCTAAGAGGCCTGCATAGTATATCTTAGAAACACAGAGGGAAGTTACTCAGACTAGCCTACAGCTTAAGTTACTACTTGGAGATGACTTTTTGAGCTCAAAAGTTGGTTAAAGGTCAAGCCAAAAAATGTGTAAAGGGGCATATTAGGCATCAGGCATAACATTAGTGAAGGCACAGTGGTACAGAATCATAGCGTGTGCAGTAATTCTCAGAAATTTGACATTATTAGTGTACAGAAGTGACATTAGTTTGGAGACGTCGGTAGAGACGGTAGAGACCTTGCTTGGAGGGTGTGCTCTGTAAGCCAAGGTGCTTCAACTTTTTCTAGGAGTCATTGAGGAATTTTAATAAGTGTTGTGGTTGCATTTATAAGTTAAGTAACCTAGGAATGTATTTAAGGGGTAAATGGGTCTGAAAACAGAAGTAGGCAATTTATATGACATCTTAGAATGATTGTTGATTTCCAAAAGCTTGAATAATGGTACCAACATGAGGAATTTTGATGTATAATCTATATATATAAAAAGCCAGAGACCATAATGCCATCACAACCATAACGACCTAATGACTAGTTCAGGGGTGGGCAAACTTTTTGACTCAAGGGCCACAATGGGTTCTTAAACTGGACCGGAGGGCCGGAACAAAAGCATGGATGGAGTGTTTGTGTGAACTAATATAAATTCAAAGTAAACATCATTACATAAAAGGGTACGGTCTTTTTTTTTTTTTTAGTTTTATTCATTTCAAACGGGCAGGATCCGGCCCGCGGGCCGTAGTTTGCCCATGGCTGGACTAGTTGCTATGACACCCACTGTGGCCAGCGAACCAGCCTGATTCAGGCCGGATTGCCCCCAACACCCCTATCAGGTCGGCCAGGCTCCGATCAATGGGTGGCGGTGGTGGGGCAGAACTGGGGTCTGGTGAGTGGGAGGAAGGCAGACCGCTTGGTCCCTCCCCACGTCCTGCAGGCTCCGACTGATCAGGGGATGGCTAATGGGGGCACCGGGATGAGTGGCACAGCAGCGACTGGTGAGCAGGCGGAAGGCAGACCTCTTGGTCCCTCCTCCCAGCCCTCAGGCTCCGATTGATCTGTGGCGGCAGCAGGGTGGAACATGGCCCTGATCACAAGTTAGGCCTAGGGACCCTAACTGCACACAATTTCGTGCTCTGGGCCTCTAGTAAAATAGAAAGTTTTCTCTTGTTGAGAAACACTGGCGTTAAGGATAGAAAAATAAGTATATACAGTATAGCATGTAACTCTATAAGACAGAATCCAGCAATATGTATGGTCTACCAGAGAATTGTTCATTTTGAGATTTTTTTAAACTGACTTAAACTATACATTTGAACATATCATGAATAGTTGATACTTATAGTCTCAATCTGAATCACGTGACATGCTTCCTTTTTTTTAAACTCTGTGTCTAAGATAGATTTCACTTAAGAATTCTATAAACTTTCCTCTTAGACTACCCTCATGAATAAGTTGGTAAATAAATC